AACATTATTATTATTTTTATTTATTACATTTTTAATTTTTTATAAGTTGGAAATGGGATAGATCAATGTCATAGTCATGAGGAATAGGGATTAAGTTTCCTATATTATATAACATTACCATCCCCCATCTGATGCTTGTAAAATGAATTTTAAACAGAAAAAATGGGAAAAATTTATTACATTTGAAAAAAGAAAGAAAAAAAGTGTTACATGTCGATACCTCCGTGCAAAACAAATAACTCTCACATTGTAGATATCAATAGGCGGCAACTTGAGATTGTTGGAGGAGAAGGGATTTGCGTCAAGTTGGGTGATAAATTTCCACACCTAGTATGGTCCTTTGGATCTCTTAAGAGGTTGCTGATATTTTTTTGAATCTCAATTGGGCTTAGGCCTATTCCAAAACAAAATTGTTATTTTGCAAGGAATTCGTCCGTATAGATAAGTCCAATAGTACCAAAATAAACGCTATCGCGGGACTGATGCCTATCAATGCACCTTGCCTCAATCAGCAGCAAAATAATTCTAACATTTTCAAATATATCTCTCGACTTGGGTATGGGCTAGCTCTGAGAATATAAGATGTTTGTTCGTACAGGCTGTGTTGGCAAGATGCATTGATAGGCATTAGTCCCGCGATAGGCAGGTATTAACTGGGGTTCTAGTCCTTATTTTTTTCAGAGCAAAATTAATTAAAAAATTGATAGGTAATTATTTACCGACAATCATAGCGATCTTTCCATCATAATTCTCAATCAGCGAAAAAATTCTAACATTTTCAAACAAATAAAATATTTATTAATTATAATATTACAAAACCCATTGTTTCTTTTTGAAAAATTAAAATTTGTATTATCGTATTTTTAATTATATTTCAATGAAAGTTTCAATACATTTGCTTTGTGAAAGGATTAAAAATATTCCCTTAACTTTTGAGAGGTACGGATTTATAGCTTGCAGAAAATGATTACATGTATAATATAGAATATGAATATGAACTAAATAATAATTTCCATTAGAATGGAAATAAATTTTTTTTATCATAAACTACTTATCATCACATTAAAATTGTAACAGTATTTTCATATTATTATGTGATTTTGCATGCAAATTTCTCCTTGTATCGTGACAGTATTGAGGTCACGGGGTTACATGCATATGTATACACACACAAGTGAGAGTAAAATAGTGATTAACACCCCCATATTCAATATTCTATATATGGCATTATGCAAAAGCTGTCATGTCACCATTCCTGATATATTCCCTAAAGGACAACGTGTGCTGTAACATGTATATTGTTTAACAAAGCTTTGATATACTATCGAATGATAAAAAATATATATATACGCAGGTACAATTATTATATTGTATTATACATATGCATTTTAAGATGCCCTATTGAAAAAATACACTTTTGAGTACACGTGTTTTTCACGTGTGTAATTACATATAAGTAGGGGAGACCGAGGAGGAAAGTAACAGAGGAGGAAAGTAACAACGCTTATAGCTTTTAAACAAATTAGCCGATATACAAAGTTAAAATTTTTTTTTAATCAGTAGTGCCCCCTCCAACTTCTCCAAAGTGTGCAAGAGCATTTCCGGTTTGGTTAGGTCCGCTAGTGATATAACGTTACAAAAAATACGTCAAAAGTAAGTTTTCGTTTAAATTTTCAAAACCTCATATTTTTGAATTACACAGTTTTATAAAATGTGCGTTTCGTTTTCTTGTAGCTTAATTATCTGCCTTTAAGTAGTAACAGTGTATTTTTAAATTACGTGTTATACTTTTCTGTAATTTTAACTTTTTTGTTGAAAAATAGAGTGAGGAGGAAAGTAACACGTTGTTACTTTCCTCCTCGTTTCAATATTGTGCATACTTTATAAAATGAGTGAAGTAAATCATATTTAAAGTTACAGATTAGATTTTGTTTGTTAAAAATAATAAATTACAAGTAAATTGACTTTCGTTTTGACATATTAACGTAACTTAAAAATGATTTATTGAACCAGAAAACATTTTTATTCTGCGTTCATATTTTGTTTTATTTTATGTTTGTCATAATTGTTAATTTTTGCTTTTAAATTTTAGATAAAGTTATTTTCATGTTTTTAAAGATTAATGTTTTATTGTTTATTTTGTTTAATGCCAAAAATATGAAACATAAAAAATTTGGCTACTTTTTTTAAGGGGTAACACACTCTAGAGGCTGAAAATGAGACCTATATTATATTTGATGATTTGTTTTGAGAAAATTAAAAATGGAATAGGATTTCTTTTTAGAAGGTTTATTAAATACTTATTAAATTATGAAAAAAAAAACTTTTTGTTTACATTATATAACAAAATGGCGGCGGTAAATTTTTATGTTCAAAATCGACTATTTTTACGGCCAAAATACTTTTTTGAAAAGTTTAAGTCCTAGAACAAATCGGCCCAAGTCTGGCCAGACTTGGGCCCGGTCTGGGAAGGTGTTTCATGCCATGTTATGGCCTACACAATGATCATAAGATCTGGCCCCGATTTGGGCCATGGTTAAATTTCTACACGGGTCTCAATTTTGGTGAGAAGGTTGGTCCAGTTAGCACGAAACGTCCCATACATATATAATAAAGAAATAGTATATATATACACTGAGAGAAGTCCAGGGCGTAATAGTTACCGCTAGACGTCGCTATAAGCTACTGTTCTTGTTGCGTTTGAGATGTTTCGAATCTAGGGCTCAGACGCCCCGAGTCTGTCAAACATTGTTCCCGCATGTGAGAGAACAACTCGTGACCGAAACTAAAAGTTGTAAGTAATCCCGCTTCGGAACGTTCCACGTTTTTTATCGGGGCTTGAGACGTCCCGATTGAGGGTTCACATAAGAACATTCAAAATTATCACTCAAGCCTCGCACGGGACGTATTAGTTCCCGGACTTCTCTCAGTGTAGTATAATTAATAAAAACACGTATATAAATAAGTGCAACTGTTGTTACTATTTGTCAGACTTTGCGCGATTATAAAAATCTGAATACTGTATGCGTGCTATTGATTTCTTTTACACTGAAATAATATATCTTACAGTGTTTATCGTTACTCATTGTGTCCATATCTGTGCAAGTGTCCGATCTCGTTACGTTACAAATCATGTAAAAAATAACAATGCCAAAAACCTCATTTTAAGAAAAACGGAATTAAAGATTACGATATCAATTGATGATGGTATCTCTGGTTTATCTGGGAAGTTATTCAGATACGAATTGTTTCCAGTCCAGGGCACCTTAAAGATGTAAAACCAATAGGTTTTAAATTTCCCCCTCCACCAGTTTAAAAACACGGAATACTTTTGCAAAGGACCGACAAAATGGAACCTTTTCTTTTTTCTAAAGAACCAATGAAATCAAACACTTAAATTAACGATAATTTAATAAAAACCGCATGATTTAATTTGTCAAAACATGTAGATTGATGATAACAAATTTTTAAAAAATTAAGATTTTTCTCCAAAATTACTAATTGCGATTGTCTCGAAAACTAGAACCGACAAAATGGGCCCTTTTCATGTGGATGTCCACATGATCTAATTTTGTTTTTACTACCAGTGAATAAAAATACCATTTAATAAACTATTATTTATTAATTTAAAACTAATAACAATGGATTGAAATTACCTCTAATAAAAACTGTCGATAGCTAAAGTTCTTGAAATAGTATATTAAGGATGAACAAGGGGATAAAGGCAGCCATTTCTTTATTCCCGTGTTACTTAAGATATTTTTTATCCCTAATGCACAAAAGTGGCGATTTCAGATAGCAGACGACAGGGAGTAAAAGTCATTCACTTGTTCGACTTGTATGAAAATGGTGGCTGTTTTCATACGGTCGAACAAATGAGTGGCTTTACTCCCTGTCGTCAGCTATCAGAAAGCGCCATTTTTGTGCATATGGGATAAAACATTTAGTTAAACATTAATAGATAAAAATAACATAATCTTAATTTTTTAGATCAAGAAGTGAAATATGTAAGTCTAATAAATATAGGGCTAAATTGATAGGTTAGGAAATTCATAAAAGTTCTAAATTTTATTTGATAATTCACAGGTCAAGTATAAAATATTATAATCCCAAAATTAAGGTCAAGTTCCATAATAATATTTTAATTTGGATCCTAATTGAGATGAAATAGCTAGAACTTTTATAGCACAGGCGAAAATCTGTTATAATTTGATAATTAAACGAATCAGCTTAAAATTTTTTAAGTAGAACGTTAGAAGGCAGCCAAAACCTAAAATTTTAGGTCACAATTAACAATTGAAGAGGCGATTAGTGCATCAATATTTAGGTCAAATATAACAAATAAAATGCTTTAATTTTTATTTCAGTTTTAAGATTTTGTTAGATATTCGAACTACAATTTTGATCTACATTTTAGAGTTAAGTTAGCCCTTTAATATATGTGAATTATCTCCCACGTTTTGTTATTTTTGTTCCTTGATATCTAACTAATTAAATTAAATTAAATTTTTATTATGCTTTCGTTGGTCCAGTTCTTTTTACCTAAATTTTGAAGCTTTATCTCCTATTCTTAATTTGAAATTTGATATAAATTTTAACAAATTGTTAGTCTTATGATACATCTCATAATCTTATGTAATATCTTACATTTCCTTTTTTACAGTGGATGTATACAGAGAAAATATACTTTATTCGGATATTCAGAGAAAAATTTGCTTGAAACAATCATATTTTAGTTGAATCATCCAAATAAATTCATTGCTATACAGTTAACCAAATATTTTCTTGGTTCAAACTAAAACTTTCCTTCAGTTCTTTCTTCGATGGCAACGTTTATTAAACTGAACTCAATGTCTATTTAAATCAAATAAATATTTATTTAGAATTAACTAACTTTATTTAGAATAAGTTTAATTAGGAATATCTTTTTATTGTTTTCCTTATTGTTTAGAAAATGTATAAAAATGCGAATAAAGAAAGAGAAATTGTCTATTTTTCAGAAAATGTCTTCACTACGAACACAATCCTCAGGTGGAGGTGTTATGGGCTTAAGTAGTGTAGGATCAGACAGAACGGTCGTTGCTTCGACAGTAGGTGGTTCGCATTCCCATTCACACAGAAAGCATCATCATCACAGAAGTAGAAGTGCTCCTCGAGCACCAGAGAAACCTCCGAGGAAACGTCATCTTAATCCCGGATACAGTCTCGCTTCCATTCCTAGTCAAATCAAACTTTCTATGCTCAACAGTGGACTCATTTCATTCGGTAAGTTTCAAATTTTTTGTAAACACCTTCAAATATCAACATTACATTCAATTTAACATTAATATTAAATCAATTTTTAACTTATACGAGTCTAATATTCAAACTGTAGGAAAATTATTATTTCCCTACACCCAGGCGGAAAAGTCGGACGAATGTCGGAATTCACAACCGGCTGGGATCCGCGCCCGTACAGACCGCAAGTACCGACGGTCTGTACCGATTCGGATCTGAAAAAGCAACCGGCGCGGTACAGATTATGCTCCGACTGTCGGATCCGTCTTCCCACTATTGTCAGTACTGGCTCGGTACTGGATTTCTTCCGCCGGCGGATCTTATTCTTCTGCGGCGTCGGAAGAATGACGGATATGTTAAGTCTGTACTGGCTCGGTGCTGGGCCGGATGCGACTGCGGATCTCGACATTTATTGTCGCATTATAAATTTATTTTCAATAAATGTGTCATACCAAATAATTATTACAATAATTAATTGCATTATTTTAGAAAATAATGATAAATTAATAAATGAATTTAATTAAAATATTAAGTAATTATTTATTGAGACTTTTTTCAAAATTAAACAATTAAAAAAATTTGTTGTGCACTTATACTTTATAATTATTATAAATAAATTTATACTATTAATATAAATTTATTATTATTGAGATATTATTAATTAATATTATTGAGAATTAATTATAAATTATTAATATTAATAAATATTAATATTCATGTTAATAATTTATTATTAATTCTCAATAATATTAATGTTAATTAATAATATCTCAATAATAATAAATTTATTATTATTGTGATATTAATTCAAATTATTAATATTATTATGTTCAATATTATTATATTGAGATACAATTATTTGATATATTATATAATAATAAAAATATAGCTGTAGCATTGACGCGTAGTTATTCGACAAGTTTTATTTCAGCTTGTGACACTTGAGAGTATTTAAGATTTGAGAGTCCCATGCGAGCGTAGCATAGTGGTTAGCGTGCGAGATTTCGGTGCGTAAATATTCGGTTAGGCGTACGTTCGTACCTCCAAGCGTTAGGATTTTTCAAATGTATATAATAAAAAATGAGACGCCTGTTTATCCCCGTTTATGCAAATGCTCTAATAGTCATTTGATCTAATTTAAAGGTTATAAATATTCAAATGATCTAAAGAACATTGAATATAATGTGATTTTATATAAAAGTCTAATTAATAAAATGAGTTTATTCTATAATTTATTTTTAAGCCAATAATCAAAATATCCAATTCGCATTTTCTATAATCATAAGCAATTATAAAATTTTTTCACGCAAACTTTCAACTGATAAAATAGTTGTATAAGCTAAAGTTTATTTTTTATAATTTTATAATAACCTAATTTTAAAGTGTTATAATTTTTAATTTGTATAAATTGTAATTTAACAAATGTCTGTCAAATCTAAATGTAGTAAAATATAATTTATTTAAATAAAATATCTTTTTTAAAAAATGCTAACAACCTCGAATCGTCAATTGATCAAATATTCAAAACATCTAATCGTCATTTCGTCCAATGCTAAAAACATCGAATCGTCAAATGGTCGAATGCTCAAAACATCGAATCGTCAATTGATCAAATATTCAAAACATCTAATCGTCATTTCGTCCAATGCTCGAAACGTCGAATCGAGAAAAAGTTGAAAAATTTGCTTGATGTAAGTTAACATTTATTTAAACCAAGCAAATTTTTCCAATTTTTGTCGATTCGACGTTTCGAGCATTGGACGAAATGACGATTAGATGTTTTGAATATTTGATCAATTGACGATTCGATGTTTTAAGCATTCGACCATTTGACGATTCGATGTTTTTAGCATTGGACGAAATGACGATTAGATGTTTTGAATATTTGATCAATTGACGATTCGAGGTTGTTAGCATTTTTTAAAAAAGATATTTTATTTAAATAAATTATATTTTACTACATTTAGATTTGACAGACATTTGTTAAATTACAATTTATACAAATTAAAAATTATAACACTTTAAAATTAGGTTATTATAAAATTATAAAAAATAAACTTTGGCTTATACAACTATTTTATCAGTTGAAAGTTTGCGTGAAAAAATTTTATAATTGCTTATGATTATAGAAAATGCGAATTGGATATTTTGATTATTGGCTTAAAAATAAATTATAGAATAAACTCATTTTATTAATTAGACTTTTATATAAAATCACATTATATTCAATGTTCTTTAGATCATTTGAATATTTATAACCTTAAAATTAGATCAAATGACTATTAGAGCATTTGCATAAACGGGGATAAACAGGCGTCTCTAAAAAATTGCGTTTAAGTGTATAAAAAAATAAAAAAAAATGTGTAAAATGAACTGTCAATGAATTTTCATCAGTATTTATCTTTTGCAATTAATTATTATTTTTTTTATTGATATTTGTTGAAATTATCATTTGGATCCGATCCGGTTGTCAGTTGGTAGAATGTTAGCGCTCGGCTGGCTATTAAATGAAAAATCCACGGTCGGTAGAGTGCCAGGTTCCAGCCGGTTGAATTATACACGGAACGGCTTCTCCCGGCCGGTCAGCGGGCGGTAGAATGCCAGTTCCGAGCCGGTTGCCAGCGCGCTCCTGGCCTAGTCACTATTCGGCAGAATGCCCGTTCACATTCGGTTACTTTCTGTTCTGTTCTTACTTTCTATAATTTACAGTGTGAAATGTACTTGCGTTAATACTTTTTTCGTGAGATATTAATTTCTATTTTCCTATCGAGTATTCAGGCATATGGTTTAAAAATTTGAAAATATTTTTAATGCTTAGTTTACATAAATGTCACTTGTTTACAAATTTTTAAATATTTTTTAATCCATAACATTTGACTCTCATTTTCTATGTAAGATGACGAAATTAAAATAAGCCATGTAAAATAACAGTGGACAGATTGTAATTTTCTTCTTTTAAATTAGTTGCTTAAGTTAATCATTAAATTAAACATATTTGTTACAATTCAATATTTTTTACAATTTAATTAGTCATATTGTAAATTTTACTTGGTAAACACTTACAATTAATAATAAATTATTTACATGTTTGACATTACACTGGAGTCTTGGTTATACGAAAATTATACGAAAATTGGTTACATAGAATGTGATGGCACTGAAACGGGATAAAGGAAGAAAGGAAGGGTCGTTCTTGACTCGATGATGGCAGTAGCGTACCCATTACTAGATCCGTTTTTTCCCTTGATATAACCTAACCTCAAAATTGTCAGTGAGCTATCAGACAATATTAATTAATTTATTTGTCTAAAAATGTAATTTAATAAATCCAAATGCTCAATTTTACACTATATTAATAAATTCTAGAGAAATAAAGAAATTAGCAGGCGACTTTATTTCATCCGAAGGCATAAAGAATCTTTGTACGGCCCTGAATGTTTATACTTTTTTATTATTAATGAATAATATTTTTAAAAATATTGGAAAATATTTTAATAGTTAATAAATCAAACAATGTTGTTATTAATAGTGGCCGGTTTAATGTTTAATACCATTATAACAATTTTTTTTATTTTTTTAACTTCTTCGCAGTATTGATTCGGTGTTACCACCAGATTTCTGCCAGTGCTGATTTTAATAGTATTTAATAGTATTGAATAGTTTATTTAATTAATATTAATTAAATTTAATTCATTAATTTAATTTATAAATTTATTTTTTAATAGTATTTAATAATAATTATTTAATAGTATTTAATAATCGGATTCTGAAAGTCAATGCCGACAATTAGTACCATGCCGGTGTGATTAGATTGATGATTGAAAAACATTTTTCATCATTAATAATATTCTAGATTTCCTTTGCTAAACTGCTTCGTAGTTTACATTCTACATTTTATTAACTGTCAAAAAATCTAATTTTTTGGAGAAACATTCAAATATTTTAAAAAATACGAAATGTCTTAAAATTTTCTGAAATATATATCGAGACTTTAACCCAATTTATAATATTTAAAAGTATGTTACAATTCCGTTAAATAGTTTAGGCTCTAAGTTTTTGTCTAAATGTCAAAAAGTCGCTATTTTTCAGTTTTCTTTGCTTCAATTCTATAAAGTATCAAAAATATTAAACATACTTAAAAGAATTCTTTCTTTTATCATTCTTCATCCAACAAAAAAAATTGAGCAACGTCGGTTTACATTTACTTGAGTTATTCGATTTTATCCATAAATAATCAATATTTTGAGAATATAAATATATGGACGTCCGCATGAAGAAGGATCTCTTTGTCGGTTCTAGATTCTAGTATAATCACAATAAATTTACTAATTTTAAAGAAAAATATCGAGTTTTTTTTATTCTTTCTATCTAGACTTAATTCAACTCTTATCTGAATAACTTCCCAGAAGAACCAAAGATATGGTTTTTTCAAATTTAACAAGGAATTTGACCATATAGATAAGTCCTATAGTGCCTATAGTCCCTTTTTTATGCGGACATCCCCATATATTTTAGTGAATAGAGTAATTAGAAATAAGGGGTAATTGGATACCCACACACCACATGATATTTCCTAAATATTTCACTGAAAGATTGAAATATTTCAGTGCAAGGTCCTTGAAATATTTCTGCAAACAGGAAAATGCCCGCCTATGTGAAAACATTGACGCGAAATTTGAGAATATATTTCATTGAAATATTTTGGAAATTTTCAACTTAAATGATGCGCACTCATAGACATATAAGAATAGACTGCGCGAGTTTCATGATTCCCATGAGAGGAGCAAGCCGGTGGTATAAAAAGAGACGGATAGAGCTCTAAACTTGAATATTAGTAATAAAAAAATTAAAAATTAAAAACTGTTCGTTTATAGGTTTCAAATAAGTTGAAACATCCTCAAAATTTAGGTGAAGGTTAAGAGACAGAAATTAGTCTCAAAATTTATGCCAATAGACAAATGAAAAGCTAACAATTCGTATGTCAAAAT